AAACCATGGCTAATTTGTGGTTACCATGGTTTAACTATAGTAATTATGTTTTTGGGTTTTATTTGTAGTAAAACCATGATTAATTTTCGTAAGGGAAGTGTAATATGATGCAGTTTCAAGCAATGTTCTGAGCTTCAACAATCAAGACAGTGACAAACACTCTCAAAGATGTTTATTATTCGCTGTAAAATTAAAACGCTCTTGATGTTTGACCAGAAGATGGCACTATGCTGCAGCCTATTGGACTTGGTTATTGTGTAATGCCTCAACTCGTCCACCAGGGGCAGGCGGAAGCTGAACGTGCGGACGTCGCTGTATCAAAGAGGAAACGGAAATAAACAGAAAAATACAGCAATTTTTCATCATTTCAAGTCGGACGAGGTAGAAAAGCTCAACCTCATCAACGATTAAAGACAATTAGAGTGGATTCTAGGGTCTTTAAAACGAGAGAGCGAGTGTTGGCCCTCACAGTTGTTTTCAAGAGTGAGTAGAAGAAACTACAGCTTTTCTCTGACTGCCAGCGTCAGTGTGTTGTTTTTCCACGTTAACAAGCAAAGGCCATAAGGCCTCTGTGCTTTCCTATACATTACCGCTGTTCGCTATCATTTCTGTTAAATAAATCATGGAATTTATGCTTCTAGACATGTTGACAGAAGGAACGCGTTCTCGTGTGTTGTTTTTTAAAGTTCGGCTATATCACGGGATTTTTAAACTAGAACCTTCGGGAACCGTACTGGAATTAGTCATGTTTATTTATTTTTATCATTTAAAAGATACAGTGTGAATATAACTACTTTAAAAAACTTGCATGTAATATTTAGACTTTGGAAGTTAGTTTTATGCAGCGTTACTGCACATATAACGTTATATATATCGCCTAATGGTAAACGATTTCACTTTTTTGCCGTTTAAGATTCATATTTATTTTTGTATGAATGTTGTAAACATTATGCGATTCTGTTATAAGATGGTAAATCATGTTGTTTCGAGATTCAAGCGTTAGACAATAATGCGCCGTTGTCAAAAGCTGCCTGTTGCATTGCAAGTGCTATGCAAGATATCGATATGATTCAAATGTACGATGTAGCCTATGCTTTAAATGACATCCAAAGCATTTTCGGTGTCAATTACGCAATTTTCTCTGCTACAAATCTGATCATATATTACAGCGCGTTTACTCGTTGACTTATGTCTGCGCAATTCTTGATATTTGCTCAAAAGAATATTATTCTGTGCACGTTCTATAGCGCTATGACGTGATCGAGCCTTGCGTTCGCGAACGCTGTGGAATTCTGACCGTCTATTGGTCGAGCAGCAGACGGGGGGAAGCCAATCGGGTGTTGACGCCCCTTCTAGGGCTTTGATTGACTGACGCCGTTTGGACGCGCTAATCTGATTGGACGGTCCGCTCTGGCCGCGGCGCGTAATTGGCCGCTTGAGACGTCAAGCAGACGGGTTTCCTTCCTCTTTTATGGGGAGCGTTTTGCTTTTTAATGCCTGTTGTATCGTGGGGCGCGGCCCATTGAACAATCTAGAACACTAGATCAACAGCCCTATCGGATTTTCTGAAAGACTGTACTTTGTTCGCAGGTTTCTCGCCGTGATCTTTATGCGAGGACCGCGACGGGAGGAGAGACGCGGGGCTGACAGACAGAGAGAGGCAGGTGGAGATCATTGTGTCTTCTTGGGTCTGTGCTCATCGTCGCTGTTGAGATCTCATTGTCTGGTCCTCTGGTCCACAACAGGGATATAAACTGCATCAGGAGGCATCTTCCACTGCTTTGTACCTTACCACATAGTTGTCCATCAGGCTGTATCATGGAGGCCATTGCCAAGTATGATTTCAAAGCAACTGCAGATGATGAGCTGAGTTTTAAACGTGGGGAAGTATTGAAGGTAAGTCATGATTATTTAATGTGTGTTGTTTATTAATATAGGTCCACATGCGCAGGTAGTTGGGGCTTTTTTTTTTTATCTTGATCAGAATGTCTGTAAGTACCTTATTGTCTCATTACTAATTAACTACTGAAACAGTACTTACAGGCTATATTGGATCTGGACCAATTGGTTTGTTAGTTATTGATTAGCTTTATTGTTTGTTCATATGCCAGGAAAAAATTATCTGCCATTTACGTGAAGCAGGTTGGATGATTACGGTATTGTGAATAAGGAAGTACTTTAAAAGATAATGTAAATTTCAACATAACATGGCACCATTGATGTGTGCCTGTGGTTATGTATGTGTGTATATATGATATGCATTTGAAATTAAGCATTTTTAGGTATGAAGAAACATGAACAAAAAGCAGTTTGTTGATTTCAAGGACTAGTTCCATGTTTCGCCCTAAAATTAATTTTGCATCTTTATGTACACACCCTCATGTCTTTCAAAACCTCGATGATTTCCTTTTTGCCTGTGGAACACAAGTTATTTTAAAGGGTAATAAAAGTCAGTGGGGTCCAAAATGGACAACAACAAAAAAAACACTGAAACATTTTTCAAAATATCTTCTGTTGTGTTCTGCAGAAGAAAGAAAGTCATACAGTTTTGGAATTACATGAGAGCAAGTAAATCATAACTTAATTTTTGGGTGCACTATCTTTTTAATTTAACGTCATTGTTTTGAAATGCGTCTGGAAGATTACTTGAGCGCACATTGAGAAACCTTCTTGATTTTTGCTGATAACTGGTCACAAGAATGCACCTTTTTCTTTCAGTTTGCTCAACCTTGTCAACAAACGGCGAGAAATATGTTGTCGTTTCATGAAGGAGTTTATGGCATTCAGCTTGTAAAATTGAAAAGCATTTTAGAGCATTTGTAGGTATGAGTGAAGAAATAATGAACAAAAAGCCATTTGTTGATTTCAGTTCCTGTTCATTTCGTAATATCACTGCAGTTTCTTCCATCCAAAAAGCAGCTTCTCAGAACAACTGTTTACGCAAGCAAATAATTTCTCTCTTCTTGCATCTGAATGCTAATCTCGAGCACAGCATCTGTTAATCTGGCCAGACCTCACAGCTGTATGTCGCTGTCCAGCTTATGTAAAGCCGCGATCTTTCCTTCTCTCCCTAAGGAGAGTTCAAGCCATCCCTCTTTGAGCTGGATTGCAACATATCAGCTGTGCGGAGGAAAGGGCTTGTACTCAAATGCTCGGAGATTTAAACGCAATCATTCTAATCTCTCAGGTTGAGTTTAGGGGCATCTTTCATGCATAAGCCTGTCATAAGCACGTCAACAGCATCATTCCTTTGATCTGATTACCGGCACAGATTATCATCAGGTCTTTGTCTTTGTGATGGGATGGCAGAGGCACTAAATGAACCACGTCCTGAAGTGGTGTGGAGGAAAACAGGCAGGATTATGGTGTTGGTGTTCGTCTGGTTCTCTGTGGGATTTATTTTCTTCCTGATTTCAGATTATAGTGTTGGATAATGTGTGCAGAACAGAAGTGTAGTTATGAATAATGCAGCAAGCAATATGTTCTCATGAGTGTGGTTTCTTTTGAAAATAGCACGCATGTGCGAAGAAGCCTGACTTTCTTTGGTATGCCTTGTACGCGAGTAGGAAACGGTCTACTCAAACTGCATCACCCAATGAATATTGCAACTCGCCCTCATGTCGTGTATCAACCCCACAAAAGAACAGGTTTTATGAAGGGGTAGGGTTTTATTTGTCCTTTTTAAGACAAGCATAAAAATGTAAGGAATGAATTGAATGGAGCACAGTACATCAGTGTCTAAATATAAAAAATTCCAATAGATCTCTATTACTTTTTAATTTAATTTAGCTCTGCTCCCAAACGCCAGAATGTGTAAATAACTTGTACAGTATCTCTGCAAAAAAGTAATTTTCTAAAGTATTTTTGTCTTGTTTGACCTGGATTCTTAAATTAAGATTTACTTGAGAAGCAAAATGACTTAAAATATGCCTTGCTTATGATTTTATGATAAAGACAAGAACAAATGTCTGCCAATAGGCTCAGGAAACTCAAAAATCTTAATTCAAAAGGAAAACAAGATTTTATACCCCATTGACAAATATTTGTTGCTTTAAGCGTGAACTCGCTTCATTTTGTTCAGTGTTTTAGAAAAGACTTCATATCTTCAAATTTCATCTCGAGTAAATGTATCTTGATTTAAGGAAGTTTAGATATTTGTATTAGAAAACAAGTAAGAATACTGAGAAAAATGTAGTGCTGTGACTGAATTTATGAATAAGACGTTCTGTTCTGATTTAAGACTTTCTTAGATCTTCATTTGTGAAAGGTCGAATTCAGACTAAGACCCTCAGAAACCCTAAAAACAGAGTTTGGAATGACATGAGGGTGAACAAATATTTGGGTGATTTATTCCTTAAATTTCACTTGTTGTTCTGTTTTGAAATGCATCAGGAAGATAGCATGCTTTTGTGCACGTGAACATAAACTGTCTTCAATTTTGCTGATCATCAGCCACAATGACAACTTTATCTTTAAAAACACAAGAAATATGATGTCGGCCGTGTGTTTTTGAATGTACTGGATCTCACTGACATTTTTATTGACGTGTTTCTGGGCTAGTTCACACTGACCCAACAACCATTGCAGTTTGGTGTTTGTTGGAACATTGTGCAGTAAACATCAAGTAAGTTACATAACTTTACCATTACAAACATCATAGGTTTAAAGGGGTCATATGACGTTGCTAAAAAAGAACATTATTTGGTGTAATGAAATGTGTTTATGTGGTTTAAAGGTCACATATTTTACACCTTTCTGGAGTTTTATTTTCGGTTTTGATGTCCTTAAGAATATATATTTGCTAAAACCATGTCAATATATTTTCAGTGGCAAATCCTGTAAATATGTAAACATACTTACAGGCTGTGAGTCAGCATTATTTGTCAGAACAGCCAGCATTGTAGGCTACTGGTTCAGGAAACAGTCCTCGTCCTCCGTAAAATGCGATGCACACATCTGAATATTTGGGTTGAACTGTTCTGGAACAGTGTTGTAATTACAACTTAACCACTGATTTCTAGTTGTGTCCTCTTTTGGAAGACCAAAGTAGTTTTGCTTTCACAATGAAACACAGCGTCTCCACGACATGGCGGTGGCGGCAACAATAAAGTTACGCCTTCTTTCTTTGTGTGAACATTTGGGTGGGGTTATGCAAATCTTCCCACACAGTGACGTAGACATGTGGGGGCGTGTTAGAACCAGCTGTTTTAGGAGGATGTGGACGAGTCTTAACTTTGATAAAGAATATCTCTTTGGGTTTGAGATTTTAGTCTTTGCAACTTTAGGGATCTTATCTATTCACGAACAGCTTGTAACACTCCAAAGAGAAAGGAAAACTTGAAATCGCATCAAATGACCCCTTTAAAGCACTTGCTGACTCCAAATCCAGCCTCTTCCCACAATTCCTTCTGCTTTTTTTGCAGTCTAATGTAAACGCACAAAGAGGAGCCTGTTTACACATGTTCTTGTCAAGATGTTTAGCGCTGTACGTTCTGTAGAGTTGGTGTTAAAATGTTCTTTTTCTGTTTGTGCCTCTGATTTTATGAGGAAGTGATTCTTCAAAGCGTGCAAAAAATGGACCATAAGTCAGCAAAGGTGCTAAAGGCTATCTTTAATATCCTCCGTCAGCATTATGTTTGAAACTAGATTTACATTTTGAGAGTGTTTTCCCATGCAGAAGTCACCGCCACAATGCAGC